TGGCTTCAAACAAATGATGAACGCACAGAGATGTGGTGCAGAATGTGCCGTGAAAATCCCACTCTAGTGGACAAAAACAGTGTTTTTTATATGGACGCAAACGCGCACTGCAACTTCTCATCTGGTGCGTCTTTTATTTTGACAGCGAATGCGCACATGCGGACCACTTATGTGCACCCGTGTAAATAACATAATGTTCTGCCGGGTGTGTTGTTGGTTTTCCCTCGATTTCTGAGTCAAGTGCCTTTGTTACTGGGACCAATAATTTTAAGAAAGGCCCCCATTAAGACCCATTAGAAATGCACGAAATGCATTATTGCTCAGTCTGCAATATCTTTCCCAGAACAAACACAATTGCAAATAACATACTAAAAATACCTTTAGAACTAATTATTGTAACTCATATTGGCTTGGTAAGCTCAGTGACCCCTGACCTACATACACAGGTGAATCCAATAATGAGAAAGAGTATTTAAGGGGGTCAATTGTAAGTTTCCCTCTTTTAGTTTGCTCTGAAGAGTAACAACATGAGGGTCTCAAAACAACTCTCAAATGACCTGAAGACAAAGATTGTTCACCATCATGGTTTAGGGAAAGGATGCAGAAAGCGGTCTCAGAGATTTAAGCTGTCTGTTTCACAGTTAGGAACATATTGAGAAAATGGAAGACCACAGGCTCAGTTCAAGTTAAGGCTCGAAGTGGCAGACCAAGAAAAATCTCGGATAGACAGAAGCGACGGTGAGAACAGTCAGAGTCAACCCACAGACCAGCACCAAAGACCTACAATATCATCTTGCAGCAGATGGAGTCACTGTGCATCGTTCAACCATTCGCCGCACTTTACACAAGGAGATGCTGTATGTGAGAGTGATGCAGACGAAGCCTTTTCTCCGCCCAAAGCACAAACAGAGCCGCTTGCTAAAGCACATTTGGACAAGCCAGCTTCATTCTGGAATAAGGTGCTGTGGACTGATGAAATGAAAAGTTATTTGGGCATAACAAGGGGCGTAATGCATGGAGGGAAAAGAACACAGCATTCCAAGAAAAACACCTGCTGCCTACAGTAACATATGGTGGTTCCATCATGCTGTGGGGCTGTGTGGCCAGTGCAGGGACTGGGAATCTTGTCAAAGTTGAGGGACACATGGAGTCCACTCAGTATCAGCAGATTCTGGAGACCAATGTCCAGGAATCGGTGACAAAGCTGAAGCTGTGTCGGGGCTGGATCTTTCAACAAGACAACGACCCGAAACACTGCTCAAAATCCACTAAAGCATTCACGGTGAGGAACAAGTACAACGTTCTGGAACGGCCATCTCAGTCCAGACCTGAATATTATTGAAAATCTGTGGTGTGAGTTAAAGAGAGCTGTCCATGCTCTGAAGCCATCAAACCTGGATGAACTAGAGATGTTTTGTAAAGAGGAATCGTCCAAAATACCTTCAACCACAATCCAGACTCTCATTGGAACCTACAGAAAGCGTTTAGAGGCTGTAATTTCTGCAAAAAGTGGATCTTCTAAATATTGATTTTATTTCCTTTTTTGCAGTGCCCAAATTTATGAACCTGCCGGATTTTGTTTAAACAATTACTGCACACTTTCTGGAAATCGAGTAAACTTAATTTCACTTCTCAAATATCACTGTGTGTCTCCTATATGATATATTTAACTGGCATTTTTAATTGTAGCAACCAACGATTTATACAGGAAAATAATGACTATTAACAAGTTGCCCAAACTTTTGCATCCCACTGTATATGACTTCATAGTTTTATGAGTTGTCCAACTGAAATGTAGATGTTTTGTATAGACAAATGGTCCTTCAACCAGAATCCAGACTCTCATTGGAAGCTATGGGAAGCATTGGGTGCCTGGGGTGGCTGTAGCTCAGGTGGCAGAGCAGGTCAGCCACTAATCAGAAGGTCGGTGGTTCGATCCCAGGCTGCCTCCTGGCTGCATGCCAAATATCCTTGGGCAAGATACTAACCCCGTGTTTGCCTACTGGTGGTGGTCAGAGGGCCCGGTGGCGCCAGTGTCCGGCAGCCTCGCCTCTGTCAGTGCGCCCCAGGGCAGCTGTGGCTACAACGTAGCTTGCCATTGCCAGTGTGTGAATGTGTGTGTGAATGGGTGAATGACTGAATGTAGTGTAAAGCGCTTTGGGGTCCTTAGGGACTAGTAAAGCGCTATACAAATGCAGGCCATTTACCATTTAGAGGCTGTTATTTCTGCAAAAGGAGGATCTACTAAATATTGATGTCATTTTTCTGTCGAGGTGACTAAATTTATGAACCTGCCTAACTCAGTAACTATTGCACACTTTCTGTAAATCCTATAAACTTCATTCCACTTCTCAGTATTACTGTTTGTCTGCTATATGATATATTTAAATGAAATTACTGATCCAAAAAAACAATGAATTATGAAGAACAATCCTGAATATTATCAGGGGTGCCAAAACCTTTGCATACCGGGAGAAACGTTTCATCACTAATTCCAAGTGACTTCTTCGGTCTCAGCTGACTGCATAAACAATACTTTTGCACAATGACTGAAATTCACCCACTGAATAAACAATGGGCTGGGAGGTCAGTTCCTTGATCATTAATATGCAAATTCTCATGACCACTGACCAAAAACCACTGATCAATGGCCATGAGTACCATTCACAGAGAGTTGGGGAATGGCTGGAATCACAACCTTGTAAGATAGAATAGAATAAACCTTTAATTGTCCCACAAGGGAAAATTTGGTGATCATGAAAGATGTACCGTTAGGCCCCCTCCTCGATTCAGAGATGGTCTTTCCATTTTTGCGTAAATGGCCTCCTTGACTCTGCTCAAACTAGCGTTCCTCCTGGTCCAGGATGTCTCATCATTGAAAGAGTTCCCACTGGCCTGTAGGTGTAAATTGACTGGAGAGTCCTGGCCCTACTAAAGAATGTTATCTTGTTTCAGGATGCATAATACCTGCCATTATCCAACCCATTCACAGTGTTGAGGAAAGCCTAAGCTGAGAAGGCATCTAAAGTAAGCCCCAGGCGGTAGAGAAGGACAGCTGCTGGTTAAACAAAAACTCTTAGTGATCCCTCATGTCAGCAGTATTGAAACAGTTCAGACATGTTTTTTTCTGAATGTAGTCTAAGTGTCAGGAGGAATGCCGTGATTTATACATTGAGGAAACCAAACAACCTCTGGCAATGCAGATGGCACAACACAGAAGAGCTACCTATGTTCACATCCACAGGTCAGTGTGGCCTGTAGGTGTAATTCTTAATTCCACTCTGCCTAGATGATACCCATAAATCAGGTGATGTTATGCCATCATTTCTTAGTACACAACAAACACTTCACATTAGAATGAAAAAAAAAATCCCAAGTGTGCGGAAGTAGAGGCAGTAGTAGCGCATTTAATTATTTACAAGCATAATGTTTGTTTATTGACATACGTGGGCAATCTTTCTATTTTCAGCAGATCAGAGCAATCTGCTGCAGTATCAGGGTCACAATAAACTTTATTGTCCAGTTGTGGATGGTGCAGAGTACCAGCTTTTTAAACCCTGGTAGGGGTTCTCCCTAAAGAAGTGTAATTGACCCACTTTTGATCACATGCCTTATCACATAAGGGATAAAATGCATATCTACACTTTTGTGTCCCAGCTGAGTAACAGGAGGAGAAGAGTCTGGTGGAGCAGCAGAGGAACAGTTTCAGCCATTTGGACTCAGCTCAGCCACTACAGAGGAAACAATGACTTCAACACAGGAGGTGAGAAAAATATGACAGTTACACTGTTATTGAAACTGTGCACAGCTGGATGTTAACAGCAGCTTTATCATTTCCATCCTGGGCTCCTCCATAAATAGAGAATCTACATTCACAAACAAAAACCACAGAAGTTACAAGAAAATACAAAGATCACATTTTATCAGAACACATTGAAACAACAATGTCATCAGTTGGACTCAGAATTTGTTATGAAGTACAAGATTTTCTCAAGTAATCAATATTTCTTTAATAATGTCATTTTCAGTCCAACTCTCATTGTAGCACATCATTGTAATGTGAAACTATCACCAGAAGGTGGCGGTAACACACCTACGACGTGTTTGTTGACATCTTTGATTCCAAAATGGAGGCAGGTTGAGTTTGTTCCACGACTACATTTCACTCACTGCCTCTGTTTGTATCTCTGTCACTGCAGGACCAACATGGAGCAAGAAGTCAGCGCTCTCAGGAGGCCGACAAACCTCACAGAAGAAAGGGAGAGAAAACATACAGCTGTGATGAATGTGGAGAAGATTTTACTGGAAAGTCTAACCTGAAAATTCAACAACTCATCCACACTGGGATGAGACCATTCAGGTGTGACTTGTGTGGAACGTCTTTTACCAAGACAGTAAACTTAAAAAGACACCAACTCATCCATAGTGGAGATAAACCGCACAGCTGTGACTTGTGTGGAAAATCTTTTACCCAACCTGGAAACTTAAAAAGACACCAGCTTGTCCACAGTGGAGTCAAACCGTACACCTGTGATCAGTGTGGTAAAACTTTTAATTGCAGTGGCAACTTACTAAAGCATGAAGTTACCCACTCTGGAATTAAGGCGTACAGCTGTGACATTTGTGGGAAGACTTTTAGCCTTTTAGGGAACAGAAATAGACACCAACGCATTCACACTGCAAATGGTGTTTACTTCTGTGATCAGTGTGGGAAACTGTTTACAACAGATGCACACTTACAATTCCACATGTTTACCCACGCTGATGAGAGACTTTATAAATGTGACCTGTGTGATAAGGCTTTTAAATCTCCACGTTACCTGAGAAAACACCACCAAATGCACTCCAGAAAGAAACTCTACAAGTGCAGTAATTGTGAGGTATGTATTTATATTTTTATCTTCTAATTCCAGTGTCACTGTTTGGATCAACTCTGCTCAGTAAGTAACTTGTTAGCAAGTTAGTAATTCTGCTAGCTATAACAGCAGTGCTGGCTGATGATCAGATTTCAATCATTATTTCTTTTCATCCATCATCATGAAAAAAGTTCATTATTACTTTTCTGTATTCACAATATCCACGTTGTACCATATTTAGGCCCACATTACATTTGCCATGGCTGCTGGAATTTTGACAGTGTCAGTAAAGAACATAATAAGTCATCTAATTAAAAACAACGGTTACTGTTACCTTGTAGCCATATTTGAGGATTTACAGTTGCAATTCTTTTGAAGCGTTATGTTAATTAACCTTAAATTAAAATCTCAATGGGATATAAAAATACTTCATTTACAGAATATTCAGTCAACTCTCTCACAAATCTCTTAAAACATTCCTAATATAATACAAAGTAAGTGAAAATTTCTCCCTCTTCTATCTAACATTCACACTCCATTGGATCCATCGGAGAACAGCTTGGGGTTAGTATCTTGTGACATGCAGAGTGGATTATGTAGATTAGCAGTCGCCACTAATCATTTTTATCGTTAACTCGGTTTCCCTGGGTCTTTTCCCGTTTTTTTGGGTATTGGTTTTATTTTGTTGCATTTATCCTCCCCTCCTTGAAGGCCGATTCGTGAAAATATACACAGACATAAAACAGTCCGTGGCACAAAAAAGGCTGGGGACCGCTGAAGTAGATGACCTGCTCTACCTTCTGAGCTACAGTCACCCTTGAACAGTGGTTCTTAACCTTGTTGGAGGTACCGAACGCTACCAGTTCCATATGCACCTCTTTAGCGAAAAATAAAATACAAATTTTATTCAAATTCAAGACATAGATGAGCCGTGCATGTCACGGCGGAGGCTTTGCCGAAACCCTGAAACCGACTAACCAAACCCGTAGGGTTCGATCAAACCCAGGTTAAGAACCACTGCCCTAGAAATTCCTTAAGTGTAGAAAAACTATCTGTATTATATGGTGTCCGTAGAGGTGTTAAAGATGGGAGGCAAAAGCAGAGAGGGGCTTTTTCTTCTAGTCCCGAGCCGGTAAGTAGGATGCGAGAAGACTGAAGATCTGCGGTGAAAAGACTTAGAGAGAGGGACAACAGAGGAGAAGTCATAGCCCTTCACTGTGGATCGACTGATTGGATTATGAATTTTAAACTGCGTACTCATCGTATGCTGAGTTAGGATCAGAGTCAAGAAGGTGAAGTCGGGGAGCCTTGTACTGGAAACTGGATTCTATCAGTGCGCACGATGATCCTCCTTCCCTCCTTCCCTCCTAAAAGAAGACACACCTCAACAATGGTTGTAGTCACTCAGCAACAGAATAGTTGGTTTATAGTGTGATAAATTGATTATTTGGATTTGATTGATTAAATTGCAATTAAGCTGTTTGCTAACGCCTGCTGAAATCTTGCTTTAATAAAGATTATTTATCTTAATTCAAAGTTAGAATTGTGGACATTGATTCTATTACCTTCTTAAAACAGTAAATGGTAAGACTTTGTGTGTTAACCCATTACATCAGATTTAGGTTCTTATAGGTTATTCTAGTACTTCATTATAATACGTCCTTGGGACGTACTGTCCAGGTCACTAAATTTTACTCAGCACAATAACGAGTGCTATAGATCATTAGAGGACAGCTGCCGTTAATAACTGTGGCTTACAAATACTTAGATGAAGGCAGTTAGAGGCTGAGCGAATAAGATAAGATAAGATAAGATAACCTTTATTAGTCCCACACGTGGGAAATTTGTTTTGTCACAGCAGGAAGTGAACAGTGCAAAAGTTATGAGGCAAAAATTAGGATACAATAAGAATAAATACAGTACACAACTGTACAGAATAGAATAAAATACTATATACAGTAGAATAAAATAAA